CACCACAGCTTGTAGATCAGCGGCATCCCGGCCAGACAGAGGGAACCAAGGTGGGAGAAAGTCTCCAGGCGCTGCTGTCTGTCCTGCTCAAGTGTTCCCCTTGGGGTCTGCTGAGGAGCTCGCAAGACACCATATTCTCTTTCAGGTCCAGAAAGAAGGCCTTTCCCAAGCTCGGCCAACCTCATTTCTTTTGAAATAACATTTTTGAAGGGAGCTAGACTTTCTGGTTACCCCTTGTGTAGTAGACTTGGCTGTTTTTTTCTTCTTCTTCTTCTTTTTTTGCTCTGTTAGGAAACTAGGAGGTAAAGCCTCTCTGTGTCCTGAAAAGTAAGGACCATTTTGAAATGAGCACTGCTACCCCACTGCACTGCGATTACTTGTAATCATGATGTTTTAGTACAAAAGGAACTATAAACATCCTCTCTGCCCTGCAGTGGGAAAAAAAAAAAAAAATCATACAAGTAGACTTGGCATGATCAAGAGCACTTTCCAACAGGAAAACACATATTGGTTGAATCTGGTTCTAAAAATACCTCCCGTAATCTTTGTCTCTTTTGAAGTATTAAATGTGTGAATGCATACAAGCCAAATAGCAATCCAAAACACAAGTCAGGCTTTGTTTCTAAGGAACCCTAACTAACCATCGTCTGCCCCTCCAGTCTCAGCCCTGATGATGATATTAAAGAGGAATGTGGTAACTATAGAACGAAGTCCATAAGATCCCTTCCAGGGTCTACTCAGTAAGAAATGATTCCATTATTTTTGCTCACACAATCTTATCCAATTTGAGGTCTCACTACTGACGCAGCTTGGTTCTTCGTACAAGTTATTTGGCAATTATCCAACTCTCCTACCAGCAGTGAGTGATGTGGACTGATATGTGGTGGAAAGTGCCCTTTGCACACTGGCTGGTTTGCATTTCTCTGCTTCAGGGGTTGACTTTTGCCTTCCCCAGTGGGGATATTTTTAAGGTACTTGGATTCCTTGTTCATTTTTACTTTGCCAAGTTTCTGTAAGTTTAAATCTGGGTGAAAGGATTTGTTCTCTTCCTGTGCTTGATAAGTCTAAAAATGTATTACTTTAGTTTCTTTTTTATTTAGAAATTATTGAGAAATATCCCCGAGCCTTGCCTTAAGAATCCTTTGGAAACTATGCACCCTCTATCCAGATAAGTGCACATTCCACGCACGGCGTTTTCAGAGGTTCTAATCCCCATCCACACACCCACAAGCCCCGGTTTAAAACTCTTAAATTAGAAGGCAAATCCACTTTCACCTTCTAAGAAATGGCAGTGCTTCCATTAAGAGAAGAAGACAGAATGAACTGTGCACCTGCCCAGCGACAATAGTCCCAGGTAGACTGAGGTCCGACTCCACTGCAGGAGTCCATGGCTGCTCAGAGCAGCTGCCCCGTCTTGTCTCCTCTGCTGGATCCTTCTCTTCTTCCTGTCTCTAAGCGCTGCAAGCCTCAGAGCTTGGGCCTCAGCCTCTTCTCTCTCTGTCTCCACCAACGTCCCAGGTAAGTCCATCCAGTCCAGGGCTTCACATGCCATCTCTCCACGGCTGAGTCTCAGATTTCATCTCAGGCCCCAACTTCCCTCTCGCCCCCTGGTCATTTCCACTGGATGTCTGAGATTTATCATACCAGGTGCAGAAAACCAAAGCCCTGATTGCCGCCACCCTCTGATCCTCTCTGCTTCTCCCCCACCCACCCAGAGTGCTCCAGCTCCACTAATGGGAAATCCCTCCACCACGTACAGGTCAAAGCCCAGAATCATTCCTGACTCCCAGTCCCTTACAAATGCCACCTGCAAAACCTTCAGAATAGATTCCAAGTCTGACCATGTCCTGGCCCCGTCCTCCCCGCTCCATCCAATTTACCATCCTGCCTGGCCGGCCACCTCCGCATGGGGATCGTCTGCGGAAGTCAGTGACCCTTTAAACACAAACCCTATCATGTCACTGTGGTGCTCTTGGCCCTCCACGGCTCCTTCCACGGCTCCCACCGAGGGGAGAGTCCAGAGAGTCCACGCCTCACCGTGGGCGCCCCCGGCTACCTCAGAGCCCCTCCGTCCCCAGCTCCTGGTGCTGTTCAGCGCTCTGGGCCATCTGTCCTTCATGGGAGCGGGCTCGGTCCCCTTCACAGCCCTGCTCCCTGCCCGCCGGGTCTTCACTCGGGCCCTGCTCTTACTCTCTGTGCTCTTACTTTGCTGTGCTTGTCGCAGGACACCGAGCCGTGGCTGGCAGGACCACGCACTCGCTGGCTTGTGTGTGAGTTTCTCGTGTGGCTCCCACACTAGAACGTAGACTCCGTGAAACGGGAGCTTGTTCTGGTCACCACAGTACCCCTGTCGTGAGGCAGGTTTGCACATAGTCAGCCTCAGCAAATGCCTGTGGAATAAATGACTGAGTGGCCCTAATAGAACAGCACACATGGTCCACTGTCAAACCAGCATGTCAGAGAGAAGGAGGGGACGCTATTGTACCCAGCAGGGCCCCTGCCCACCCATCCGTGTGACTTGGACAGAGGACTCTGGATTCCCGAGGGTGTCCTGTGTCAAAGATACTGTTGTCTGGAGGGAAGAACGTCCATCCAATGAAGATTCATTGAAGATGCTCAGACTTTGGAAAATACAAAAAGGCACTGCTGTCGTGAGGAGAGGCATTCATTATTCTGTTTAAACCAAGTCAGAGGAAAGTATTTTAAATATACTCCAAAGCTCCCAAAACACAGGGCCCATCTGGCTACTCAAAGACACGCAAATGTCTCCATGTGAGTTGCGGCATCAGCATCGCAGACTCACATCTCTTTCCCCATGTCTCTCGCTGGGTCCCTCGGGGAAACCACATCAACAAGGCTGTGGCCAATGTGCGGGTCACTTCCAAACACACCCCAATCATGTGCATGCTCCTGTGGAGGATTCTGAGCACAAATGGACTCAAATGTCCATTTGAATCCATATTCTCAAGGAGAGTAATTGGAAGTGGCGCAAGTGTCCTGAGCCCATCGACACCCAGAGTTACCCCAGCAGACCCTAGAGCAGAGGTTCTCTAGCATCAGCCTCATCTGGGAGCTGGGGAGGATGCAGGTTCTTGCCCCCCCACCCCCCACCACCAGAACTGCTGAATCACAAACTCTGGGCGGGGCCTGTCAGTCTGTGTGCAGACAAGTCCTTCAGGTGACTCACCGCAAAGTTTGAGAACCACTTTCCCATACCAAGTCTTCTTCCCTGATGTCAATTCCCAACCCTTTGGAAGTCTCAGCTTAGCTGGGAGTCAGTGATCCACAAGCTGGAGGCTCCATTGATCCCACTTTCAAGCCTGGCCACTCTTGCAATTTTCCATTAAGCAGTAGGACTCTTCAGGGAAATTAATTTAATGTAGGCTTTAGGAATAATAGGAGAGCTTCAATTTCCCTCGTCAGGGAGATAACTAAATTGTCCTCAGTCTAGAGAATGAATAATAGGTGTACCTTAGAAAAATATGGTTTAAATCAATCAGTAAGATGCCAACAGTAAAAACCTATCATTTTTGCTTCAAGTGTTATCAGAAAAGAAAAAAAAAAAAAAAAAGGCTTAGAGGTCTTACTGTTCAATACAGCATTTACAAATATTCAATGTAATTGTCATCTTTATACTTGAGTCTTTATAAAAATGAATCATTTATGTTAATACAGAAAGGGAACTTTGTCGTGAACACTCAAAATTCAAAGAATTGGAACCAGCTGTTCTAAAAATGACTCATAATCTTGCTTACTAGACAGTCTTACTGAAGTAAGATGTCAATATTAACATTTTCTCCACTGCTGCAGGTTTAAGTCTCTGTGGGTTAGTGAAAGCAACCTACAGCTAAAACTATGTCCACATACAGCAAAGCCCACGTGTCACTTGATTCAATTAAATG